CTCGACCGAGCTTGCGCAGGAGATTGCTGAAGATGAGGAGCAGAATGTAGATCCTGACGTGGCCCTCCCGCTTCTTGAGGGTGCACCTGAAGCTGTCGAGGAAGCGGCGAGGGTTGAAGAAGTCCTTGACCATCTGCACCAGCGAGATCTTCTTGGCCCGCTCCCTCACGCTCTCGGTGTGCATCAGGTCTCGCTTCTTCTCCTTGTCGATGCCGTAGACCCACACGATGCTCTCCCGCAGGCGCAGCGACTGCTTCGGCGCCAGGATCTTCTCGAGCTTCTTGACGTTGGCGAAGGGCCCGTGGCTTTCCGGCAGCAGGAAGATGATGTAGGCGCACGAGACCAGGTACATGGACAGCGAGGTGCCGAAGAGCACCTGGTAGCCGCCCGCCTGGTAGATGTAGGTGCCGATGAAGGTGCCGATGGGGCCGCCCAGGAACCAGATGCTGTTGGCCAAGCCGAGGCGGGACGTCCGCGCCTCCTCGGTGGTCACGTCGCTCATGTAGGAGTTGGCCGCCGTCAGGAAGGACACGGTGCCGCCGCCCAGCGAGTCCAGCAGGGCAACGAAGAGCAGGTACTCGACGGGCCACGCCTCCACGGCCGAGTTGACGAGGTAGCCGAGCGCGTAGAGCAGGTGGCCCAGCGTGGCCACGAGGAGCGGCGTCTTGCGGCCGTACTTGTCGCTCCAGGCGCCCATGAACAGGATGAAGAACAGCGGAATGATGGAGGTGATGATACCGTTGTACATGGCGAACACGCTGACCTCACGCGTCATGTCGTCGCGCACCGCCTTGTGCTCCGACAGGTTGCCGCAGACCTCGGCCGAGTGGTTGAGGTTCACGCGACACACCTTGTCCATCTGCAGGTTCTCCACCAGCACCACCATGTTGGAGTAGGCCACGCCGTCCAGCAGCATCACGGGCTCCACCGAGATGCTCCTCAGCGCCGCCAGCAGGATCTGCCACTTGGTTCTCTGGGGCGCCTCCGCCATCGTGTCTCGCTCGGGGTCGCGCTTCAGGGAAGGAAACTCGAGGCACTGGGTTCAGCGGGAGAAGCGAATATTCCGAACTTGCAAAAGATACTAATCCATCGTAAAATTTTGCGATGCCATCATAGTTTCCGAAACCAGAGCACCGGGTGCCAAGCCAAAGAGGTGACCCAAAGCGAATTATTACACCCCTTATAACTGTTTCCCTTTTTCTTTCTTTGTCCCAAATAATCCAACTTTATCAGTCTCTAACGTCCCATAGAACGAGTCTGTTTCCCAGCGTTCGTTTTGTCGCTGTTTTCTCTTTTATCACTCTCTTCCTCTTGCTCTTACTCTCCCAAGCGCTCCCTTACGCCACCATCACACGGCCACTGTCGAGGCCCGAATGACAGCGCTGCGGCTGGCACGCTCCTTCCTGGCTGCGAAAAGGGGCGGGGCCAGACCTGTGACGTCACGCTTTCGAGGGTCGCCCGCTTGCAACTACTCTCAAAAGGTTGCAGCACACGTACCTTTAAAAAAAAGGAAAGAAAAACTACGTTCGCCACCCTTTCCTCCCCCTCCCTTCCCCGCCTCGCCTGTCCCGAGCCTCTAATGAGAGCGTTTGTCATCCCTTGTTTAAGATTCGCAGATGAACCCGGCTCTCTCGGGCGGACCAGCGAGTCCTCTCCGCCGGCGGCCATTCGCCGGGACGTCGCTCCAAGCAGAAGGACGTCTGGAAGGTCAAGGTCACCGCGGCAGATCGGTAGATAGACAGACAGAGAAAAGGCAAGTGGCGCTGCAGCGATGAAAGGGAGCGGCGATGTGGCAGGCCTCGGGGGGTGGGGCAGGTGTGGGGGGCAGGGTGGGGCATTTAGGCGCCCATGAACAGAGCCGAACAGCTTGTAGGCAGATTTCTCAATCCGTCGGAGCCGCCGCCGAGCGCACTTTCGACCTTTCGCAACGCGGCCCGTCGGAGCCAGCGCGGCCGAGCTTCGGTTCGCTTACGCCGCGCGGTGACGCTGCGGGGAGAGAAAAAGCCTGCGCGGCATCCACACTTGAAATATGCTGCGATTTACCGGTGAAAAGAAGAATGCGTGTAACATACCTGGAACATACTGTGGCATACTAGATGAAAAGAGAAGGAAAATGCATTCCTTCTCCGTTGGTCCTTTTTGTCCAGAAATTTCGATGTGGGAGGATGAGCTGTTCTTAATTCAGGAGCAAAGGACCCCACCCGCCGCCCTTCGCAGCAACAAGCTAGGCGCTGCGGCCCAGACCTCAACCCCCCACCGCCGCCTCCCTGCCCCTCTCCCCCCACCCAACCCCTTGTACCCCCTCATCCACTATCCTTCTGCCCTTCCCCCTTCCGCCGTATCCTTCCCCCTCCACCTTTTTCCAGCTCCCTTATCCCAACCTTTCCACCTACGTCCCCCCTGCACTCTCCTTCAGCCTCCTCCCTCCCCTCCCTCTTCCCCCTCCGCCTCACTGCTCGCCTCCGAACCTTCACCCACCCTCGGAGGTCACCCAAGTCGAAACGCAGCGATCCGAACGACCTTGACCCTGTAAGCGAACAGGGAGAAGGGAAGCAGGAAGGAGATGGGATGGGTGGGAAGGAGGAAGAAGGGAGGAGAGAGGAGGAGGATGGAAGCAGGGAGGAGAGAAGCGAAGGATGGAAGAAGGAAGTAAGGGATAGGAAGGGAAGAGAGAGGAAAAGGAAGGAAGGAAGGAGGAAACGAATGGGAGACGGAGAAGTAGTGGGTGGGAGGTGGGAGAAAGGAAAGCGAAGGAAAAGGAGATAGAATAAGGAAGGACTAAAGGAAACATGACGGAATAAGGGAGGAAGGAAGAGCAAGAAAGGGAATGGAACTAGGAGAGAGGAAGGAATGGACGAAGAGGAGGTAGGGTAGAGGAAAGTGAAGGATAGAGGGAAAAAATCCCCAATGGGATGGGGGAGAGGAAGGGGAGGGGGGGAGTGGTATCCTTTGGGGATAGGGGAAAGGGGAGACTGGAGGATGGGATAGGGTGGAGAGGATGCGAAGAGGAAAAAAGAATAGGGAGTGGCACAGAAGGAAAGAAAGAGGGAAGAATGACACGAAGGAAAGGAAGTAAGAATCAGGGAAATGGGAAAGGAGAGAAAGAAGGAAGAGGCGGGGCGAAAGACGAAAGGAAGAAGGAGGAGGTGAGAGGAAACGGAAAGAGATGGGAAAGAGAAAACGAATAATGCGAGGGAAGGAAAATACAAGGAAGATGAGGAATGAAAAGAGTGAGACTTTAAGTAACAGCGCATGTACTTTTCTGCTCAATGAAAGAGAATGAGGTCGACCTAGGTGGCCTCTCGTTTCGTAGGAAGAGGAGAGAGAGGGGGTCGGAGAGAGTTAGAGACGAGTTAGAGAGTTAGGGAGAAACAGAGAAACAGAGAGAGAGTGGGGGGGGGGAAGGCAGAGAGAGAGAGAGAGAGAGGAGGGGGGGGGGGCAGAGAGAGAGAGAGAGAGAGAGGGGGGGGGAGGGAGAGAGAGAGAGAGGGTGGGGAGGCAGGAGAGAGAGAGAGAGAAGAGAAGAGAAGAGAGAGAGAGAGAGAGAGAGAGAGAGAGAGAGAGAGAGAGAGAGAGAGAGAGAGAGAGAGAGAGAGAGAGAGAGAGAGAGAGAGAGAGAGAGAGAGAGAGAGAGAGAGAGAGAGAGAGAGAGAGAGAGAGAGAGAGAGAGAGAGAGAGAGAGAAGAGAGAAGAGAAGAGAAGAGAAAAGAAGAGAGAGAGAGAGAGAGAGAGACAGACGAATAGATAGATAGAGAGAGAGAAAGAGAGAGAAGAGAAGAGCAGAGAAAAGAAGAGAGCTAGAGACAGATAGAGCAGATAGAGAGAAAGAGACGAGAGAATACAGGAGAAAAACGATGTGAAGTGCAAAATGAAGAGAGATGCAAAGGAGTCGCATGGAGGCAGTTCGTGATGAATGAGGCATTTGAGAAGTGAAAACGATGAGCATCTGTCGAATGAGGCGCTAAAGGTTAACGTTAGGTAAAAAAGAAAAAAAAAAAGAAAGAAAAAAAAGAAAGAATGCTTTCAGGAAATAATCGAGGAAGAGCTTTGAGGGAGGCTGAATTTAATTTATAAAAGCGACCAATTTTTCTTTTAGTTCCCCCTTTTTTGTAATGGGAGGAAACAAGTGATAAAAAGAAAAAAAACTTTTCGTTTTCTTTTAGTTCTTTTCACATTTTCTCGCAGTATTTTATCAAATGATATGGAAATACCTCTCAATTCAAACCTTTTTTCAGTTAAAAATATAACTATAAGCGTTGCATTTGTTAGTTTTATATATATGAATGAATAATACTTTTTTTTTAAAGAAATCCAGGAAAAATTACATTAAAATCAAATTAAGAATGAAAAATGGACATCTAGATATTTAGACAGACAAATGAGGATATAGATATATTGAAATAAGATTTATTGATAAAACTGGGTAAAGTAATGCTGAAAAATAAAAGCGAAAATGATATTACTTTGTATGTATGTAAGTATGTATGTGTGTAAGCATGTGTGTATTTATGTATTATGTATATATGCATGCATGCATGTATGTATGCATGTATGTATGTATGCATGTATTTATGTATGTATGTATGTATGTATGTATATATGTGTGTATGTGTGAATGTATGTATGTATGTAGGTATGGGTGTATATATGTATGCATGTTTGTATATATGGATGGATGGAGGGAAAGGTTCATTAATGATTAAAAAATTACTGCACAACAGAAGACATGTTGACGCATGAATGAAAGTGAGAGAAAGATCTTTTCTTTGGAATCATTAGATGTATTTTTCTGTATATCTTTGTAGAAAGAAATAAAACCAAAAAATGTTGGCTCAAATTTAAATGCAAACGACAGAAAGGCGATAAACGAAATGGGGAAAAAAGATGTCGGATGAAGAAATATCCCAGAAACTGTTATTACCTTTTTTTCTTCATTTTCTTTCTCTCTCCTTCCCTATCTTCATCCCTCTATCTCTCCCTCCCCTATCTAAACCCTCACC